TTAGATTTGTTTTCGTTTGTACTACATATGTGCATATATACATGTACACAAACATATATACCCTGTGGGGAAAATCTCTAGTTCTGAACTGGTGCGCTTCTAGTACATTTAGACCCAGTACTGGTTCGCGATAAATCTCTTTTGAAAAAAGTAGCCTATTTTTCAGCCTAGCTCATAAGCTATCTGTGTGAAAACTTCCATGCAAATCAGTTCATTAATTTCCGCGTATTAATTAAATTAAACATTTCTAACAGGTGGCAACTCTTAAAAACAGTAGCCTACTTTCTAACGTAGGTCATAAGCTATCTGTGTGCAAAATTTCATGCAAATCCGTTTAGTCGTTTCCGCGTATTAATTTAATTAAACTTTTTTAACAGGTGGCAACTCTTCCAAAAAATTAGCCTATTTCTCACTGTAGGTCATAAGCTCTCTGCTTGCAAAATTTCATGCAAATCCATTCAGTCGTTTCCGCGTATTAATTTAATTAAACTTTTTTAACAGGTGGCAACTCCTTAGAAAAGTAGCCTATTTTCCAATCTGGTCCATAGGCTATCTGCGTACAAAACTTCATGCAAATCCGTTCAGTCGTTTCCGCGTGATGATTTCCCAAACATCCAAACATACAAACTTTCACATTTATAATATTAGTAAGAAGTAAGATAAGATAGTAAGATAGTAAGATGTATTGCTTGGTAGCCGCAGAGCTGAAATGCGCAATGATCTCGTTCATACATACATACATATGTATATATGGATACATATATATATGTATACATACATATGTACATACGTGTATTCAAACATACATATATACATATGTAGGTACTCGTACCCGTCATGCGTCACTTTATTTCCTTTTTCCCTTCTCTATACTACCTATATCTTCCTTCTCACTCATGTAACGTTTTCAGTTTTAAAAATTTCACTCTCCATTTTTGCGATACCGCCGCCTAAGAAGTTTCAATTCAAAAATTAAAATTTCAACGCTGATAATTTTAGGCTATTTAAAAATATAAGTTGCAACATGAGAAAGTCAAATTTCGTGGATTTTCGCAACAATGTTGTCGATTTTCGGAAAAAAAAGCGTTAAAATCAGAAAAAAAAACTACGGAAGCGCCCTCTGGCGGCCCTCAAAAGAAAAAATCAATGCCAGAAATGGATTCCTCGACTCCAAAAACCCCCCGATACACATTTTGGCTAGTTTTTAATACAGCTGTTTCAGCAGGTGAGCCACTTTTTGAAAAATAAACTAGATAGAAAAAATCGCTGGCTCGAAATTAATTTAAGACCTATGGTTTCTTGGGCAAAAAGTCTTGAAATTACCCAAATAAGCATAATCGCGATGTGCCTCTGTTAATTTTTTTGGGCCCCTACAAATCGACCTGCCCTAATATGTAAGTAATATTAACACATTCATTCCAAATATTCTTACTTGGTTTCACTGCTGGGGCTGCCACTGCTGCTGCTCCACTCCTCAACCTCGACAGGTGTAGCTAGCCTATGTCAATTAAAAACTACAGCAAATATTAAAAAATAACCAAAACGGGAAAGATCTTAAAAACTTCACAGACAAGAAAAAAATAACCAAAATTGGTTAAAAGAACCAAAACGGCAACACTGATCTAAGGCCAAACAAAAGAAATGTATATTTGACAATCACTGCATGCAGCCCAAAAACCAAAACCAACAACAACAACGCTAAAGAAAACTCTTATACTGCTAGCACACCATCACAAACACCAGATGCAGCCAAGCAAAGAGCACCATCTTGCTCTCCAGCAGTGATCAATGCGGACAACAACGTAGCTGCCGCTACTAATACTCGACGGCAACGAACAAAGAAGTAAATAAAGCAAAAAATGCTACTGTTCAGACTGGGTTAGATCGCTACATATTATTAAAGCGAAAGCGCACACCCGAAAATGATGGAAAACTAAATCCAAAAAAAAAAATTTTGAAAGTAGTCACTTCCGGTGCATCTACATTGGCGGAGAATAATCCATTTAGTATTCGCGCTGATATGAATAATGATTCTAACCAACAGGTAGTTAAAAAATACAAGCCTCCACCTATTTATCTACGAGAACAAAGTTCTAATAATTTTCATGTGGTTCCTATTAAAAAGGGTAATATACACGAAGTGAAAATACAGGTTCAAAACGAAGATATTTTTCGTAAAATTATCAATCAGTTTGATAAGTGTAAGAAATCTTATTACATCTATCAACTTAAAAGTAGTCGAGGACTAGAAGTTGTCATAAAAGGCACCCAGTCCAGTGTGAACTCACAAGAGATAGAAAATGCTCTTAGGGAAGAAGGTTTTAAGGTGCGCAATGTTTTCAACATCAAAAATAAAGAAAACATCCCTCAACCGATGTTCAAAATAGAGCTAGAACCTGACTTTCATAACCTGAAGAAAGGGGAAGTGCACCAAATATATCAATTGCGATATCTCCTACACCGTAAAATCTCCGTAGAAGAATCCCATAAGCGCAGAGGCCCTGTTCAATGTCATAACTGCCAGGAATTTGGTCACACACGTCGCTACTGCACCTTACCTGGTGCCTGTGTTATCTGTGGGGATTTACACACTTCCAAAGAATGTGTGAATCCAAAAATGGACCCGAAATCCAAAAAGTGCAGTAACTGCGGTGGAAATCACACTGCTAATTATAGAGGTTGTCCAGTTTATATCTCAATGAAAGAGAAAACAATTCCCAAAAATATTACTATTAGGCATAACCTCATACCAGAAATCGCTAAGAAAGTGCCTGTGCCAATGACTGTTAATAATTTTACTTATGCACAAATGCTCAAAAATACTCCTCCGACAAAACCTCTTTTTGGTCAGAATAGTAGTAACCTAGAAGCTACTATAAATAACTTTATGATAGTTATGCAGGAGCAAATGATGACAATGCAGAGCATGGTACAAGATTTGATTAAAAATCAAAATCTATTACTTCAAGCCATTTTGTCTAAACCATGAATAACCTCAAAATTTGTTTTTGGAATGCGAACGGGCTAACCCAGCATAAAACAGAACTAGAAATTTTCCTAGAGCGCTTTCATATAGACGTTTTGCTTGTATCTGAAACCCACCTTACGCAATTTAATAACTTTCAAATTAATGGGTACAAATTGTATGATACTAAGCATCCACAAGGGAAAGCCCGAGGTGGAACAGCCATTCTCATTCGTAACAGAATAAAGTACTATGAATTAGAACCACAAAGGGATGAGTTCATTCATAATACTGCAATACACATTGATGACCACTTGGGTGGCCTTACTGTATCTGCTATAACTGCCCCCCTCGTCATAACATAACGGAAAAACAATTTGATGACTTCTTCCTAAAGTTTGGCAGTAAGTTTATTGTAGCAGGAGACTACAATGCCAAACATACATTCTGGGGGTCTAGGTCGATTACACCAAAGGGTAGAAATCTATGTAAAGTAATTCAGAACCACGGTGAATTTGACATTGACGGAATTTGACAGAATCAGCTGTTTTGCTGACGTCACAGTCGAGATGACAGCAGTAGTGATGTGCTGAGTCAATGCTTTTAAGTATCCAATACTCTCGATACTCGGTACCGAAACATTTAGGTTTCGAATAAAAGCGCACATAGGCCAAAAATATGCAAACAACGGTTCAGGGGCCTATCAAAACCCGAATGTAGGAGCCAGTAGAGCTTTTAATACTGATTCAAATGAAAGATGTATATGTATATGTCGGTTCGAGGCCATAATACAGAGAAACTCTTACTTGTTTGAAGCATTTTTGTTCCAGCTGAATCGGACGATATCATTTTTGTAGGAAGATTCTGTAACCAGTTAGCGACAATTTTCGAATCGGTATCGGTTTTGTTGACGTATGATATGAAATATTTTTACGTCAACAAGTGCGATATCGATCCGAAACTTGTCGCTAACTGGTTACAGAACCCGAAATACCCGATCTTATTGACTTTGGTGTAACAAAGGGTATTGGGCGACATCAAGTTTATACAGAAGCATTATTTGATCTCTCTTCAGATCATTCTCCCTGCCTCATAACATTATCGATGTTTCTTAACTATGAAGAAAAACAAAAAAATCTTACAAATAAACATACAAACTTGTTAAAATACAAAAAGTATGTCGATTCGCACATTGACCCGCAAATTCTTATTCGGACCAAGAATGATATCGACAGGGCAGTTGAAAATCTCACTGATATAATAGTTCAGGCCGCAGAAATTGCAACACAAAATCCTTCTATTAAACATCGCAGTTCTTACTGCCCTGGTCCGCACACCCCAAACATTCTTAACTTAATAAGTAAAAAGCGCATATCAAGAAGAGAATGGCAAAGAATTCGCTCTCCAAAGCTTAAACAGGAGCTTAATGCGTGTACAAAGGAATAACGTATTTTTTTGCAGGCGGAAAAAGAAAGATGTACGCAGTCGATCCTCCAGTCCTTGTCTGCCTCGAAACAGACTGACTACTCTCTTTGGCGAACACTCAAGCATGCGAATAGGCCCGTTCTTCGAGAAGCACCATTACGTACTCAGAACGGAAGTTGGGCGAGGAATGATGAGGATAAAGCACCCGCTTTCGCCTGTCATCTTTCACAAGTCTTTAGACCCAATGAAGGTGCTCAGCTCATCNTCTTCCTAAAGTTTGGCAGTAAGTTTATTGTAGCAGGAGACTACAATGCCAAACATACATTCTGGGGGTCTAGGTCGATTACACCAAAGGGTAGAAATCTATGTAAAGTAATTCAGAACCACGGTGAATTTGACATTGACGGAATTTGACAGAATCAGCTGTTTTGCTGACGTCACAGTCGAGATGACAGCAGTAGTGATGTGCTGAGTCAATGCTTTTAAGTATCCAATACTCTCGATACTCGGTACCGAAACATTTAGGTTTCGAATAAAAGCGCACATAGGCCAAAAATATGGAAACAACGGTTCAGGGGCCTATCAAAACCCGAATGTAGGAGCCAATAGAGCTTTTAATACTGATTCAAATGAAAGATGTATATGTATATGTCGGTTCGAGGCCATAATACAGAGAAACTCTTACTTGTTTGAAGCATTTTTGTTCCAGCTGAATCGGACGATATCATTTTTGTAGGAAGATTCTGTAACCAGTTAGCGACAATTTTCGAATCGGTATCGGTTTTGTTGACGTATGATATGAAATATTTTTACGTCAACAAGTGCGATATCGATCCGAAACTTGTCGCTAACTGGTTACAGAACCCGAAATACCCGATCTTATTGACTTTGGTGTAACAAAGGGTATTGGGCGACATCAAGTTTATACAGAAGCATTATTTGATCTCTCTTCAGATCATTCTCCCTGCCTCATAACATTATCGATGTTTCTTAACTATGAAGAAAAACAAAAAAATCTTACAAATAAACATACAAACTTGTTAAAATACAAAAAGTATGTCGATTCGCACATTGACCCGCAAATTCTTATTCGGACCAAGAATGATATCGACAGGGCAGTTGAAAATCTCACTGATATAATAGTTCAGGCCGCAGAAATTGCAACACAAAATCCTTCTATTAAACATCGCAGTTCTTACTGCCCTGGTCCGCACACCCCAAACATTCTTAACTTAATAAGTAAAAAGCGCATATCAAGAAGAGAATGGCAAAGAATTCGCTCTCCAAAGCTTAAACAGGAGCTTAATGCGTGTACAAAGGAATAACGTATTTTTTTGCAGGCGGAAAAAGAAAGATGTACGCAGTCGATCCTCCAGTCCTTGTCTGCCTCGAAACAGACTGACTACTCTCTTTGGCGAACACTCAAGCATGCGAATAGGCCCGTTCTTCGAGAAGCACCATTACGTACTCAGAACGGAAGTTGGGCGAGGAATGATGAGGATAAAGCACCCGCTTTCGCCTGTCATCTTTCACAAGTCTTTAGACCCAATGAAGGTGCTCAGCTCATCTTTCCAATATTTCAATACATCCCAGTAGCCTCACCACAAATCCGCTTCGGTTTAAAAAGAAAGATTTAATTAACATTAAATTGTTCATGACATTCAGAAGAATAAAGCGCTTGGTTACGATAGGATTACAGGTGAAATGATAAAGGAGCTTCCACTAACTGCCGTACGTTTTTTATTACATATTTTTAATAACATGCTTAAGTTGGGGCACTTCCCCGACTTATGGAAACTTTCAGAAATAATTATGGTGCCAAATCCAGGCAAAGATCCGACGGTAGTAAATTCATATCGGCCCATTAGCTTGATTTCTGTATTTCTTAAAATATTTGAAAAACTTCTATTGAAGAAGATACAACCTTCTCAAACAAGTAACCGAATAATATCACCACATCAGTTTTGTTTTCTTGAAAAACATGGAACTGTAGAACAAGTTCATAGAATTATTTCTTGTATTAGAAAAGCCTTCGAAGGGAAGCAATACTGCACCGGTGTATTTTTGGACATCTCTCAAGTTTTTGACAAAGTCTGGCATGATGGCCTTATATACAAACTAAAGGTTTCACTCCCTGCAAATACGCATGCAATTCTGGAAAGCTTTCTGCTGGAGAGAAACTTCAGAGTCAGGCAGAGTTCCTTTAGAACGGGAAGTCTCCCTATATATGCAGGTGTCCCTCAAGGCAGTGTGGAGGATAAAGGTTAACGAGAGCAAGTGTGTTCAGACAACATTTACTCTGAAGAAAGAAACTTGTCCACCACTAAAAATAAACAGCAAGGCTATACCACAAAAAGATAGTGTCAAGTACTTTGGGATGACACTAGATCAGAGGTGGGCACTCACACTATCACACACATGCGCTTGTGTGCGAAGCAGCGAAGTTTTGCTCACCGGCCAGTGCACTGGCCGTGGTGGAATTATACCAGGTGAAGTATTTAATATTAGAGTGATAAGAAATATTTTGACACTGCCTTATTTGAATACACGCCTATAAAATATGACTATAAGACAGCCGAATGTCAGAAAATAAAGCGAGGAAGCTGTTTTATTACTTAACCTGTTTATTGCGCCATTCATCCCATCTGCTTGTACCGAGTATACGTACAAATTTAGAAGTCTGAAAGTAGGTAAAATTTGACATATTTTTACATCACTAATTCGTACATGTTCGCTTCGTCTTCGTAACCGAAGTCCACATTTCGGATATGGTGAAACCAGTGATGATAATGTAGAAATTTTAAATGAAGATAAAACTCAAAACAATATTCTCTGTATTAAATGCTGCGAACAGGAACGACAACTTTTGTTTGTTCCATGCCATGGCGGAATTATACCAGGTGAAGTAATTAGAGCGAGAAAAAGATTTTGACACTGCCTTATTTGAAATATTGCCTTTAAAATTTTACTATAAGGCAGCCGAATGACAAAATAACGCGAGAAAGCTGTTTTATTACTTCACCTGTTTATTGCGCCCTGGCTCAATGCAAATATTTTAAGGTTTTCCAGCAATGTTTTCAACATTTTAAAAAGCATGCAGATAAAATTCATACAAAAGCGCTATGTCCAATTTGCTGAGCAGTTTTTAATAACTCGACCTTTTTCCTATATTTTTTTAGACTTTTCATTAGTAAAAATATATTCAACAATTTTTATTGAGCTCGAGGCCGTTTTTTAATGAAAATTTATTGTGGAAAAGTAACAATAATTTGAAAAAATGGTAGAAGTGATAGCTATTTCGGAAATCACCACATTTCCTCTTCAGGCTTCTTTCAGCAGGCTTCGAACCGACGATCCCACTGACTCAGCCAGTTGCCTATGCACCGTGCTAAGTACGCCTTGTAAATTATCGTTTGCTTTTTTC